CTTGGACTGAATCATCTTCTAGCAAGATTTAGTTCTAAAGTAAATTAAATCAATCGTAAACACGATGTTGTGCCATCGCTTCCTCATCTGGTGCGGCTTTGCGCTACATTTTTTTCCACATGCACATCAGTAGACGTGTAGAGAAACTTCTCTACAAATTGCTCGTTAACTGTAAGCGCAGGTCTCAGTCTGAAGAAACAATCAAGTCTCTTTTATTCCTGTATTACAACCACTTTGCGGATATTCTTGCAACCTTTTGCAACTTTTGCTATTTTCAAATGCAACTTTCTCCTGGATATATGTATATATATATATATATCTGTCTGTTTGTATTATGTGTGAACACAAATATAATTGAATCAATAATCATGTAGGAAAAGATGATACAATTATCTATATTATCATCGTTGTGAAATAATTATTCTCTCTGAGCAAAGCAACCGACAAGCAGGCTAACCTCTGCCTGGCTGACCACTACCGTCGAGCTATGGGTCAGGCCGGCCGCAGCAGCAGCAGCAAATGTCAAGCAGCTGACATACAGATCTGGCATGTGTGCTTGCAGAGTGCGGAGCTCCCCAGAACAGTCCTCGTTCAGGTCAAGGGCTACGTGCGACAACTGGACGCAGAGCTTCCTTTCTGTATTGTCAGCTGTGGCGAGAAGCGCTGACTGAGGGTTCGAGGGATACATAAGAGACGTGCTGACAAAATGAGTTACTTCTTGCAATCCACAAATCGATATATAGGCCAAACATCGACACTAGAGTCAAATTCGTAATTTTTTTTCTTAATTGATGCCATATTCTTTAAGTATAACATACCTTTTATTATTTTATAATGAATGTTAAAGGAAAAAACTTCCTATATTAGTGCGATGTACGAGTTATTTCCATAAGGCTCGAATCCGAGAAGTAGCTCATTTTGTCAGCACGTTTCACAAATTGTCCAGCCAGATTTTCACTCCTGCCGGGGGGTGTTCGGGCTCTGTGTTCAGTACATGGCGGCATCTCATTGAAGTTGTTCCAGAGCTCATGTAGCCCAGAAGGCACTGTGTTATAGACTTTGACCAGAGCGCTATGAAGAACCATTCATTCACCAGTTTGTTGACTCGTAAGTCCATTGAGAATCGTGAATGATTTTCCGTAGACGTAACGTTCGGAGACAGATGGTTAAAACAACAGTGAACATAGCTGAAGAAGTCTTCAACCTCCCTGTCCGTCAGTGTAGGAGAATAGGGATGGACAGATATCTTGACATACGTCGCGGCGTACAGACATTGTCCATTCTGCAGTTCACCATCAGTGTCATATTCGGAATGATCACATGACGCCGCAGTGATATTATCATATTGCACTGCATCTGGATGCGCCTGCCGCTGATAAATTTCTGTTGAGCAAGTTTGAAGTTTATGACTATGACTTGTTGGTTGTCCACCTGGAGCTGTTGATTATGTTCTAGTAAGCGTTTTACGGCACTTGCATCACAATTAGGTCCTGTAACTGAGGAAGATTAGAGGTGTTACAAGCAACAAGGGAGTAATAAACATAAAAAAGGAGGAGAGATAAGGACAACAGATGTTTGCATACCATCATATGGGGTAACGAGAGATAAGGACAACAGATGTTTGCATACCATCATATGGGGTAACTAAAGAGCAAAGATAGTACTATCTTTGCTAAAGAGTAAAACAGATGGGCAACCCACTCTTGTTCAGTAGTGATGCGCGCTCGTACGCGCCCAGTGTGTTTTAATAATAAGCAGGTAGCCTAATAATAACATGTTATCACCAATGGTTAAAAAACGGAGCAAATAATACTTCAAGTTACATTTTCAGTTCCACACACCATTAATTTCGACTAAAAAAATAGAATAAACTTTAAAATAACAAAAACAATAACACACACACGCACACACACACACACACACACACACACACACACACACACACACACACACACACACACACACACACACACACACACACACACACACACACACAATGAACACTTAAATATTTTGTCACGACACGAGAAAATGGCTGCCAAAGTTTGGTGACAGACATTGATAACCAGCAGTCATTGTGCGAGTTGTTCGATAGTTGAGGAGATATTTGATCATACGTTTTAGACTGTAGCACTATAGTAAGTAATTAACCCTGCCCCAAAAATGAATAAAAACTATACCAAAGTTTACACTCACCCCAAAAATCTATAAACAACTCCAGCAAATCCAAGTTTAATAAAATATAAATTGAAAACTAGAAAGTTATATCCGACCAGAAAGTTCTGTCTTATAAGAACCGCTCTTCTATTTTTTACCAGAAAAAGTGTAGATTTTCCTTCTTGCCACATTGGTGTTCACTAAGTATAACAATTGCGAAATTTGGCAACTAAAATTTGATAACTCGTTATAGATCTAGTAAGTACAGGACAGATTCACCTTTATTGTATCAAAGAAAAAAACAAAATATCAGTGCGTTGAATAATTTTCATGATCTATTTTGAATAGGCAAAAAGAGCATGTTCAATTTTTTCTCTTCATTTCTGTCATTGCTCCGTTGGTTATCTGGCAATAAAGGTTTAGGGTCAATGGCGACGGCCAGCTGAATGTTTGTTATGGTTGACTTTGTTCGTACTTACACGTCAATCAGAACAGCCCTGTTTGCTCCTGTCTTTCCCCTCAACATCCCTAATGTAGGTTTCTGAAACGTAAAATGGCATCGAATGGTGGGGTAGGATCTGTCTTATGGCGCAAAGCACGTACAAAGACTGTGCTCACGAAACGCTATGCGTTTCACAGGAAGATGGATTCCGCCGATGACCAAGAAGCTTGCACGCAAAATGACTTTACTTCCTGTTTTATAGATGAATCAGAAAGTGATGGGGAAGACCTTGCTGATGAAGAAGGGAAGTTACTTGAAGAGCCCTCGGTTGTTTTCCCAGATGATCACCCACGAAATGGTAGGTCTTGCGGTAGGTTGGCTGGATGTCAAGATGACAATGATGATGCCGATGCGAGTGAACCTCTCACAGGTGTCAGCAAAATTAGTGGAAAGAAATTTGATTTTGGTTCCCATGGAGTTTCTCCTCCTTCTCCCAAAGATGGAATTGACTTTGTGGACATGGGTGTGGCACGAGATGAAGACTTTTCTGTGCATGATTATACAGATCAAGGACTTGGTCGAGGGGATCCTCAACATCATAGCATTTTGAAAGAAGGAAATTTAAAATCTCGACCGAAGAAGTCTTCAAGTAGATCTAGAAAACGTCCAAGAAAGACTTTTCAGCCGTCAGTAACATTTGGCTGTCTTGATATGTTCATTGGCATTTTTGCCATTGTTATATTTTTTATTGATATAGGAACTGATATCGAACTTGCCATTCATTATTTTAATCAGAAAATGTGGGACTATGGTGGTGTTACTACTGGGTTGATTCTTTTCCCTTCCTTTGTTACATGCTTTCTAGGACTCCACTGGTATATTATTGATTACAGGAAAGAAAAAGAAGTGGTTGATAGGCTCACGAAAGCTAAAAAGAAAGCATATATCACACCGACACGGGTATGGTTTCTCAGGATATTCTTCACAGCGCTTCAGATGGGACCGGTAGTCAGGTATGAATTTTAAAAATGTTGATATTTTGATACTCAATTTTTGTGGAGTAATATATGCTTTTTAGTTCTGTTATCTCTGCTTAGGCATGGAACTCATGAGATGGGAAAAAGCACTGTTAGGTGAACCAGTCTGATTAGATTACTGTAATAAAAATTAATGGAATCAGGCCTACTTCAGGTCTGTGATCTTAAAAATTTGTCTTTCTTTTTTTTAACACCTTTATTCTCTGAGGTAAACTTGTGGACTGTCAAGGACTTAAGATAACAAAGTGCATATATATACATATATATATATGTTAAATATATGTGATGTGTGTTCTTTCATGCTCATATGACCTCTATGCAGTTACGAGTGCCGTAAAACGTCTACTAAAACTAAAAAATATGTCATTAAATCCTCAAATCCTTTCCCCAACAGCTGGGTATACTACACCCACCTGACCACTTGTTAAGGACTGTGAGGCTAGATCTACATTGGGCCTCATGGTGTGTGATGTATAATTTTGTATTTTTTTGCTCGTACAAGAAGTGTGTTTGATTGTTTGAACATAGTGTTATGAACCGGGAAGTGACTACACAAGATGGATGGATGGCATGCTCTTTCCAGAATTGAGTATATCATCATAATCGTGATCAGGTGTCTTGCTTTCTTTTGCTTCACAGAACAAGGCACATATACATACATGCACTTTCCATCCTTTTGTCCCTTTTCTTTAAAGTGCATACATTTTTATGAATGCAGAGAAGAGAAAACAGTTGTAAACTTTCCTTGATTTTCTTCAATCTCTTACTTTTTGTTATTATATGAATTACTCAGATTGCTGACGGATATATGTTGAACATATTTGTAAACCCCGATGTGTTTGAGATATATCCATGCTTGGCTTTAATTTCATTTTGTGTTATGACCTTTAAAATGTAATATATCTAAATCTGCATCTCCACAGCAACGAAAATGGAAACATAATATAATGGTTTAAATAGGAGAATTTTATTTGTTTTTTTCTTCCACAAACTCCTGATCATGTCTTTGTTAATGGGTCTTGATTAATGTCAAGTCCTAAAATTCACTATTACACAGTATTTACAAGAGTATTTCCGTGTGAAGTATCTGGTCTCAGAAGAACTTTGTCCTTAACATCATGTATAATAATATTTCTGATCAATATCTCAATATCATCTTGTTCCATGGGAAAAGAAAAATGTGCTCATTTTTTTCTCTGCATTTATCACAATGCACACTGTATATTTCTTGCGTGATGAATTGTAAAAAAAAATTATATTTCAGAATAGTGAATTGTTTTTTATTTAAATATATATCAGAGTTTCCAGCAAAGCCGTAAAGACGTAAAAAAGTCGTAAATTCGACACCCTGGTCGTAAAGGCCGTAAATGGTCGTAAATTTGCCTTGAAGGTAGTAAAAATTTGGTAAACGGTCGTAAATTAGCCTGCATACTGAGTGATGAAGCCAGCAAGACTTTTCAGTGAACCCTAGCCCCGGTACATGACTCCGTTTTTGCCGGTCGCGATTGTGATATAATATTCGTTCACCTTTTCCCTGTCCGAGAGTACGTTTCACGCGAAAAGGCGGCTATGGCGGCAGGTGGAAGTGCATGTGACACCAAGACTCGATCAGGAAAATCAAGATCTACTTTCGCTTTTGTTACCACCCTGAAATTTGGCGAAGATAAACCGATTATGCAACATTTGTAATATGCAGGTTGTACTGTATAAACGCTGTGTCGCGGTTCAAATAAAATAATTTAATAATATTCGGACTCTTCACCGTGCTGTCTCTTGGGGGGGGGGGGGGGGGGGGTGTGAAAAGAAAATATATTATATATAATATATATATTTTTGTTTTTCAGAATAGTGGAATATTTGTACTGTGGTCACATGAGTCAGAGCAAGAAACTGACAGAGAGGGAGCGGAGGAGGTACTACCGCTTTATGCTGTATGAGGATGTAGACAGTTGCTTGCTGAGACTGTTTGAGAGCTTCCTGGAAGCTGCCCCTCAGCTGACCTGGCAGCTGTACATTGTGATGGTCCTTAAGCCTAAAGAGGATGTGGTTGGCAGTAAGTTCACAATCTCACTTGTGTTATAATCACAATGTTGAATAAGAGAAAGGAGTTTTTTAACACAGGCTCTTATTTTTCCATTTGTGAGTACATTGTCAGTTTACAGTAATGTGGGTAGAGTGAAGAACTTTCATGATGGAATAGCATTGGTTTTTAGCGGATATAATATATCTGACCCTGTGCTCACTGAGTGCTAGAATTCCTGTTGGATTTTTACCCCATCCTGCAATTAGAGGCTGCTCCATGCTGCAGAATCCCTCTTGAACAGCTTTGTTAACCTTCTATATAAACTGTAAAGAGATTATTAAATTGTTCCGGTTGAAGAATCTTAAATGAGCATGCACTTTTCAATCTTTAACAGACAGTGGGTGGTAGGCTTGTGAAAGCAGAGCTAAATGCTACTAGTTTAAAAATTACTTTGTAAATATGTCAGTAAATATTACTGGTTTAAAAATTACTTTGTAAATATGTCAGTAAATGTTACTGGTTTAAAAATTACTTTGTAAATATGTCAGTTCAGTGTCTGACTAATCCTGTGTCCGCTAAATTAGGTTGAACACTTTTTTTTGGGTCTCAAATTATGTTATTCACAACCGTTATTTCAATTTGGTAATAATGTTATGTGTAAAAAGAACATCCAACACAAAATTATGAGAAATTCTGGTAGATAATAAGAAAATTTTCCTCTTTTCTGAAAATCAGTGTTCAGGTGGAATCCTGTTATGAGAGGAAGGGGACTGGTGCAAAATGTCTGTTACTTCAAGATTCTTGTTATGAGGGATCCAATAATAAATTCAATGGAAATAATAAAGTAGGCCTAATTTATGAGTTTGGTGTTCTGTTTATTTCTTTTTGTTATCTCCTCTGATGTTGATTTTGGGTCATACTTGATAAAAAATTGAATCAGGTTTCTTTCTCTAGCGCTAGCGATGTTGACAGCTCGGTGTTGGCGATCAGAAAGAAAGGGCTCTAGGCTAACTCGCCTGCTGTGTTGTCCCCCGCCACACCACACCCTGTGGTGCATTCCGTCTGCTTGTGCACGTCACACATTCCCTCCATCCATCAAATCACTGTGTCCTCTTCATCCCCGCATCGGAGAAGTGAGAGGCATGTTAGATCTAGATAATCTAGACTAGGCTGGCCTATCACGCAATGCGTTCTGGTGGTCTGCGCATACCACACCCTCCCCACTCATTCGCTCCGGCCTTCATTATTGACACACGTGGGCTCTCCCATTCTTTGTTTCGCTAGTTCACCAACAAGTTTCTCAACTTGCGAGGTTTTACATTATGTATAATTAATTGGCCTATGCACTGTGCACAGCAACAGCAATATTCCGCTATAACCGACTCACGTGTTTGTCTGATTGAGCTATAGCAGTATTTTATTTACAAAGATAAAGAAGGAAAAAAACAGGGTTTTAGAATAGTGTCTTTGTAACAGACTTTTTGTTATTTCAGGACTCGTTATAAGTGGACTCCACTGCAAGGTTAGAGTTTCCCATTGACAATATGCAGATATTACCTTTTCATTAAAAAAAAAAAACCTCTCCAAGTGTCGCAAACAAATGTCCTGTGGTGTCAGAGGAAATTATATGATTTCACTGTTTTATTTGGGAAAATGCTTGAGACAAGTAAAAGTAAAAAAACTTATGTATTTTCAGAAAGTAGAATGTACATGTGAAGGAGTTAAAATGTTTGATGATAATGAAAATGGATAAATTAACTGAAATTATGACTAATTAAATGAGCCGTGACACATTAAAACAAGACTTATGGCCTATTTAATCGGCCGTCATCACTTGGATGGTCAAACAAACTTCCCATCAGAGATCAATAATGTCTTTTCTTTCCTTTTTCAGCATCGATGCGAGCAGCTGCTCTACTGTCCTCCTGGGCCAGCCTGGCTGTGTCTCTAGTTTCCTATCACAAGTCTCTGAGGAACTCGCATGAGGAAAAAGCAAAGATGTCCATAGCCAGCCTACCTTTCTATTTTGTGTGGAGAGCCAGTGAAATCGGAGGCAGGGTGCTGTGTATTGCTATGTTTGGATCAGCTTTCAGGTTCTGGGTATTTGGACCATTAGTGTTTCACTGGGTATTTATTTCTGGCTGGCTCATGATGCAGAAGACGACTTTCTACAAGAACAGCTGCTTAGAAAGAGCCTTTAATATCATCTGTGGATATGTGATGATATTCTGTTTTTTAAATCTGAGGGAAGGGCGCACACGCTTTAGGTTCCTTCTTTTCTATGTTATAGTTTATATTGAAAACTTCTTCATGTTAACCTTCTGGTTCCGCTTCTCACCCGATTTGGGAGCATGGTTTCATTTGGGTGGGTTTATAGTTGTTCTTATCCTGTTTGTACTGCACATAACAGCTCAACTTCTCTATTACGCCTTCTTCCACCCCACCAAAAACATACAGCTGTGTGTGCCATGTGACCCATACATCATTTACAGCTCAATATGTTACGATGTCCACCCAGGTATTGATGATGTGGTTGGACAGCCCAGTGAAAGATACACAGTGAGTGAAGTGGTGGACGGCAGAGATCAGCGACTGGTGGATGATAATTCTTCTCATAATATGCAGCACACCAGCCTGTAGAGAATAGAGAATAAGTTGGGAGTTGCAGCAGCAGTGTTGTAGGGAGCGTCGTTTAGTTGTCTCTGTGTTGAAACAAGTTTTGTTTATCAATATCGAGTAAGCTTATGGCTCAAAGAATGAGCCAGGTCTATTTGAAGAGTCTCGATTTGACTCAATGCAACAAAGGCTGGAAATATTGAATGAAAATGCTGAATGTCCAGTTGGGGATGGGAGGGGGATGGTTAGCTGAAGCTGAATTCATTGGTCAGTTGTGGAAGCTGCTGTGAAGTCAGGGGGGTCTGGGGTCAAGGAATGCAAGACTGTAAACTGTCACCTTGACTGCAACATAGACTGATGGCTTTCGTTTGTCATATTGTAAAAGAATGTATTCGTTAATACTCCAGTTTTTTAAACTTATTTTATATAAAATATACTTGTTTGTGTCTCACACAAACCAATGTGATCCTCAATGAACTTTACAGAACCAGAAATTACCTCAATGGAAGTTAGGGAATCAACTGGGGAAGGAAGTGTGAACTATTTCTATCAGTCTGTTTTGTTTAAGGCAATGTAAAAATGATTGGCCTTGTAGAAATGTTTTCTTGTAATAAGTATTTTTCTCACATAAATTAAAAGATAGCTTGTACATTTGAAAAGCGGGTGGGTGACAGGCTCTCTGGGGTGGTTGGTTCTTCCTTTCATCAAATATCTGTTGTTATTATCTCTCCTTTTTTTTCTTTTTGTGTAACTCTCTAGTAACACCTGTAATCTTTGGCACTTGTGTGACCAAATTTTGTCACCAGTGCTGGAAAACTCTTACTAGAACTAAAAAGGACATAAAAAGTTGAAGGACTCTTAAAGGAGTTGCATAATGTTACCAATGTTGCATTACTGCTTTTTTCTGTGCTGCTGTTGTAAACTCCTGAAACTCTTCCTGCTCAAGTCATGTTCATCTTTGAACATTTTATGTATGTCTTTGATAACTGTGTCTTTATTTTTAAAATTATATGCACACTCTGCCATAACTTTACCCGAAAGCTCCCTCACACCTTATACTTTTCGCTGAAGCTCTTTTCCTACGTTGGTTTGTATACAATAGCCATAGCAGAAGCCTATACTCCCATTGCTGCTTAGTTGTAGGTGTACTTTTGTTGGCTTGAGAATCTTGAGCTTGTACTTCTGCTTAATGGGTGGGAAGTGCATGTATTCGCCAGCAGCTGACTTACATTAAGTTAAAAGCTGGTGATTGATCAGACGCATGGGGGTGAGGTGCTAATGACTTCACTTTGCTTTGCGAAATTGTTCCTTTATCTGGTATGTGGGGCAGTTGAAAGTGAATATTGTAAGTCTGCATAAGTGCAATGACGACAATAATAGCAATATTAATCATAATTTTTATGACTAGTAAAATTTGTTGCTTTTAAGGACAAGCGGGCTAACCCAGATTTTGGGGGTTTCCAGAAATCTTGGAACTACACCAAAAGTGGGCATTGTCCTACCTATAGGAGAAGTTTGGTTTCGTTGGTGCGTATATTTGTTTGGTTATAGAGAAAACTCTTCTTGTCTTTTAAAGATACTGAACAAGGGTCCAAAAACTTTACCTTCGATTCTCTCAAAACAGCATTTTTCGGGATATCCCCCTTGTGCTTAAAAGCGACCCATTATACCAAGGAGAAGAATAATAAACAACCTTTATGTAATGCCAGTTTTCTGTAGATGGGCATCCTTCTTGTGGGGTTTTCCGTTTCTTTCAGGTTTTTAAAAAAAAAAGTGTTTTGTTTTGTTTTTCTGAGTTTTTTCCTCTTTTCTCAGGTTTCTTTTGTTTTTTAAAAATTTCTTTTAACAATATCTGTGATGGCTGTAGTTTCTTCTGTAAAACCTCTGTGATTTCTTGCGGCAACATCAGAGGTAGCTTTTATAAATTGTTTCCATGTTTGACACTTTGATATCCTATATGGCATCATTTGATCGTTCTGTCTTTGAAAGTTCTATATTCATCAATTTTGATTTGTAAAAAATTGTTCTTGTAATTTTGGTTATAGTACATGTGATGACTGATCAGATTTTGGGGTTTGTTTTTCTTCTGCCTTGCATTGAGATATATATATATATATACTATTGCTTTGATTCAAGGGACAGAAATGTGTAAGTTGTGTAAATATTTTGTTTGTATACATATAAATGATTATCAGGAATGGTTTAAGTTGCATAGCGTACAAACCACATATCGTCACCGTCTTTCATCATTGTCAAATGTAAAATATAATAAAAATAAGGTTTTTAGGAGAAGCAGAAGTTTATATTTCATGCAGAACATTATGTTAAGAATTAGAGAAGGACTGATTGATGTGCCTCACCCAACTATTCAATGTACTTGATTTTCATTTTAAACAAAATTTTGACATACCCAGCTCTACATTGTTGAATGACGATGATAATATAAACTTCTAGAGATTTGAGAACAGATGTGACAAAGTTTTACTTCACTCACAGATTTTTTGAAAATCTACAAACTCACAATGGTACCTCATACGCAAACCTTAGATTGGCAATTATATGGAGTTGTCTGTCTGTAAATGTTATTACCAACGGAGGCATTGTTATTGACATTATTTTAATACTTCTCCTATTGGGGAATAATTATGTAGCTTTAATATTTTGTTGCCAGGAGGATGACGAAGAACAAGATTATGTCTGAAGAAAATATTTGTAGCCGAAAAGTGAATTTTCATACCGTATTTATTCCATTTCGCTATGATACATAAAGCATAATGTTTTATTGACAACACAGGTGAAAGATTTGTTTAGAAGGGAAATAAGTGCTCATTTTTTTCATATATATATGTAACCATTTGTTGAATAAAAGGGTAAAGCCTGTGTTGTTTTCCCATTTTGTCAAAACTTTTATGACCAGTACTTTTGAAATTTTCCTGCTAAGAAACCAAAATACAAAATGCTTTGGAGGTCACACAGCATATGAGAGGATGCTGAGTCAAACTGGACTTGTAGCTAAGAGTGTGTGCTGCTCATAATTGTATTTACTTACATTGGATATGAATGTTTTGTACAGAAATGCCGTTCATTATTTTTCCCAACAACATGGCTAGTTGAATAGGAAAGTTATTTAGTATGCTTTCAGTCGTTAATTTTTAAGATAAGTGAGTGTGTAAATTTATATACATAATTTGAGTAGATAATGGAAATAGTTATGCTTTGTAAAAAGGAACCCTCTTATTATTTATCTTGTTGAATGTTTTTTTTATGAGTTTAGGAACTTGAGATGTTGACTTCTAGTCATCAGGGAAATGACCGGGATTCAAAATTGTGTTCACATTCCTTGACATTTAGCGTCATTGTTCTTTCAACACAGGTGTGAAATGATGCTTTGAGAATTGAAGTGTCGTGTACAGTATGTTGATATGCTTCAAACATTTTCTGTTATAATCATCTGTGTGTTTAATGGTTTTAGACTATATTATTTGCTTCACGAAACAGTGGAATCAGGCGCTTGTCAAGTTTTAGGCATATTAAGTTATTGGTTTAATTTTCTTGCTTTAAAAAAAAACAAACTTCTGTCTTGAATATAAGTCAAGATGTATGTGATTGAAGAAGCTGGGGGTCGCGTGGTGTCAGAGGTTAAATTAACAAGAAAATGGCCGCCCCAAAGTTTAGTGACTTCCAAATTTTGAGAGTCCTAGATAATTGAAAATTTACATTTTTTGTACCTTAAATCAATCTTTTTTCAGTAAAATGCACACAGAAATGTATTTTTAAATGGAAATGAAATTGAGGAGCCAATAAAGATAAATTCAATGAAAATTACTTATGGGGGGAAAAATGGTTTTTCCTCGATTTCATTATGTTGAATAACCCCTGGTTTCACAGTGATGCCTCTGAATTATTTGTTGGGGCACGGGTGGGATGTGAGGATTATGGGGTTGAGGGGCACTGGTGAAAATCACCACTCTGATTAAGAACATCTGCTTCTCACAGCAGGAGGGCATGTTGACTGTCTCGTGCATTTCACTCTGTACTATTTATTTAATATCACATCAAGGCTTGCCAAAATGTTCTGTTTAAGGGGTGTGTTTACTCATTTTGTTATTTCATGAACTTGACGGATGAGTTGGTAGTAAGAACAGTTGGATGGCTAAATTGACAGTAAAAAAAATCAAATGTTTTTTCTTTTTAAATCAAGGAGCAGTTCCCCCTTATATCACTTGTGTGGGTCAAAGGATTGGGGCTTGTCAGCTTTATCAACTTTATGATTAGATATTTTCTTTTCATTCATTTCTGATTGGTGGATTATTAAACCGGTTTTATTTTTCTCCCTGTCTGATGATGAAAGTATCGGAAAATCAAAACCATTAGTCTGTTCAGATAAGAACAAAGAAGTGGGAGGGCTCATGAGCACGCTGTACATGTTGAAGACAAGTTGCCAGTTGTCAGTAGAAGAAGTGCAGTGCTTGATCAACATTCTGAATTAATTCCTACCCAAAATTGTAGAAACTTTAGTTAATGTAACTAATCAGGAGTCCCTTTTCAAGTGGCATTCAAGAAGTAAGGGTCCCTTTGTTCTAGTTGGAAAATATGTCAAAGAAACTCACCTAAGTCAATGGTTTTGAAGGATCTCCTATGATCTTCAGTGGCTCTCTGTAAGAAATAGGGGAACACAGAAAAAATGTGAAGCAGGAGGTCAGGTAGAGATTTGAACATTGCTACTAAAACATAATTTGTGATGTAGTTTCGTAGTGTCTCTAAGTCTAAGAGATTACCGTACAGTGTTCTCCTCACAGGCCGGTGACGTTTTCCTCAATTAAGGCCACACTCTACTTCTTATCACCAAAATCTACAATTAAGTTATTTTTACTTGTTTTTTTCTCATTTTCTCAAAGTTTTCCATTCAAAGATGAAAGATTTTCTGTTTTGGGAATCATTGTCAGTTACAGAATCACAGAAATGGCAAATTAGAATGAAACTGGGCTATATGAAGGACCATTTTCCAAAGCTAAAAACTAAAAAAATCATCCATGCTATCTACGAACGAATAACATAATTGTAATCTGCTCACAAATCTTATGAAAAGGGTGCTAGATTTTCTTAAAATTGTAAATATTAATAATTTTATTACCTTTAGAAGACTTGCATATTAGCGAATGACAAAAATAGTCAAAATATAAAAGTAGAAAAATCACTAAAAATACAATTTTTCAAAAATAAAAACAAGCTAGCGCCATTTCTTTTTGAATTGCATGGTGCACGTACCCTCAAAATTTCATGTCTCTATCTTGAATGATTCTTGAGTTTTTAGCTTTTAAAGCCAAGAAATGAACATTTTGAGGAAAGGGGCAAAAAGATCTGAAAATTGTTTTGAAGCGTTGTATTGGCTCACAATGTTACAAACTTTATGGAGCTTTCTGTTAGAAATAGAGCTTTGGGAGTACTGCCATTCGATTTAGCACATAATTTTCAAGGGAAGTTTCTCAAGAACCAAAAACCATTGTTTGGATCCAAACTGGACCCCAAAAACCGGTGTGTTGCCTTAAGTTATTGCACCGTGTGCATCTTTTCTCTTTTGTTGTGGATTACTCTTTGAGATATGTTTGTTTGTGCTGTGATTTCTTGAAGCCATGGTCGTTGGTTTCGGAACAGTGCTTGATAGCCTACAATGTTTTCTTAAGATATGGTGGCCTCCCTCATTTTTTATTGTCATGACAACCTGTGTTTTGATTTTTAATCAATGAAGTGGCTTCTGCTTTTAGTTTTAAAGTTATACTGTGTGCAAATTTTTTTTTCAGTCTATTTGGAAAATACATGTTTTATTAAAATGCCAATTGTTTTTGTATAATTAATAATACAATATCCTGGAAAAGGACGGTAATTGTAACTGCAAATAATTTATCTAAATATATGCTAAATTTTACCATGAAGAATGATCAATGTCTGAATGTTTTATTCTGCCGTGGCTACTATACCTA